CTCGAAAAAAGAATTTCAGAAGCAGAAAAGCAGTGAAGTAAAACAGATTCTATTAGGAGGTTTTGAAGGGGAGGAGGGAGAGAAAGTGGGAGAGAGTGGAAAGTAACACACTGAAGACAGATCGTGGGCTTCCTCAAAGGCGGAGAAGCTCACACATGCATCCTAACATTAGATACTAATATTCACATCTCAAAAGGGGAGATGATGGTGCCACACGTACTCAGCCACATGTGCTCAGCAGCATGGCCATAAGCAGCACATGGCTCGGGAAGTATATGTATGCCCTTTCTTTGCTCAAGTGACTTTTATAGGATTTTTCCAACCTGCCCCCATGGGACTTCTTTGTAGGTAAAACTCCATTGCCGAGGTGTGGGAGGAGGGGTTTAGGGGAGGGGAGATTTGCGGGTCTTCTTTGGTCTTCTTTGAAATTTCTATTCTGGCCTTTAGTTCCTGCTGGGACTTCTCTTAGAGGGGGGCTTCAGCCTTCTCTGGGTCTTTTGCTGGTCAGGTGAAAATTTTATGAGGCTTTAGTTCCTGTTTCCTGAAAAGTTAGCTTTTTTCAACTTTAGGGCTATTGATATTATTATTTCCCAGGAAATTCATTGCCATTGCCTTCGAGGCAGGGGCAGGTGGGGGGGGGGCGGTGGAGTTGGAGCTTCTCCACCTGCCTACATCAATTTCATTTTAAATTTAAAATCCAGTCGAGAACCTTCAGTGTCCTAGATAAGACGAAATATAAGCATGTCCATAATCAATAATACAACAGCTCTGAGACAACTGACAGTTCTGAGTGAGGAGCTGTCCTTTGAAACTGCAACTTAACAAAGGTTCCTTAAGAGAGTGGTATATGGTGGAGGGATGGGTACTCTATCATTGTATAACTGAAAGCCATGCATAAAAAATTTGTAAGTCTACAACTGTGCCTCATAGTATTTCACTAATACATTTTTTAAAAAAAAGAGAGTCATATATCCATCAACATCTCACCTCCTGAGGACTTGGTCTGTCTCTCTTTATACAGAGAACTCATTGATCTCATTGTATGGGACATTAGGAAGAAAGCAAAGGCAATGGGCTGGGAAGATAACCCAAAGGTCAGAATGCATATTTTGTGTGCAAGAACCTGGACTCAATCCATGTTCCAGCAAGTCTCCTACCTTACAGCAACATCTCCCTAAGCACTACCAGCTGTCACAAACACCTCACCCTCAAACTCACAATTATCTTTAAGGAAATACACAGCTTAGTGCATTTTAGTAGAGCTCTGAATTTAGGGAAAAGTTGCTAATTGGAGATTTCTCTCACAAGAAGGGCAGATCTGGAAGGGAAGACTCAAAAACCCAGGTAGTTCATTGTACTTCTTGGAGTGGGGATGATTTTTGTTGTTGTTTTCTTCCAAAATACTCATGGAACTATATTATTTAGATGAGTCTAATGTAGTGCAAAGGAAATGGAACAAGAACATTCACATCAACCACACCTTGTCTCCAAGGCCCTATCTTTAACGCTGCTGGTGTTCCCTAGGACCCCATTTTTCTGTTCAAAGACAAGGAGTCACAAGACTAAGATATTGTACAATACCTAAGGCAGGTGACCAGAAAGACAAATCAGTCTGACCATCCTGTGGATCCCCTGCATTCTCTGTAACACAAAGACCCAGTTTTCCTATAAAAATCACACACAAAAAAGCCATTGTTGACTTAGTCCTACTCTAAGTTCCTCCTCACTTGGGGATCTCCTTTTCTACTTTCCAATTAACTTTTCTAATGTCCAACTCTGAGTCTGAGAATCTTTATTATTCAATATTTTCATTCTTAGAAATAATTGAAGAACCTAGGAATTATGAAGAGAGTCCCACCACCACCGCTTCTGCCTCACCTGCATCAGTATCTCACCAATTTGTATCAATATTAAAACCACTTCATAGAGACTGAGAGAAATGGCCATTCATTTTCTCATACACAAAGACCAAAACAAATCTTCAATGGATTGGATAACTAGTGGGAACACTTACAGACAAAGACAACTTACAAAGACTACATAAATTAATTATAAATAAACTTATGTTCAAATTAAAATCTCCCAACCAGGAAAAAATAAAGCCAAGATCAGATGAATTCTACCAACTATTAAAAGAGTATATAATACCAATTCTCAAAATAATGTAAAAATATGGAAAACTGGAATATTTTCAAACTTATTTTATGAAAGCAATATAAACCTATACCAGGGGGAATGGTGCTGCTAACAGGTGAACTTGTCCCTGCAGGGCATATGCATCAGCATCCCTATGGTGCCTTCAGGCTTTCTGATACCCCAAAATTGCCACTGTGCCTTTGGACAGACCACAACAACTTGGGACCAAATTTAACAAGAAATTAAATGGCCAAAAGCCAGTTATGTGGGAAACACACTCACAAACCACCTCAGGCACTCAGCTATACAAGCACCTTATTGACCTTATTTCAGAGACCCATAGATTAATATAAAAAAGAGATCAAAAGCCACAGTTAAACTCAGAACTGTGCATGGCTGAACAAACTGGGCTAAATAGGAGGGGGGCAGGTTGGCCTGGTGGCCCGTACAAGCAGATCCCCCAGCAACCACTTGCTTCCACAATCCAAAATCACCACCATATCCCCGGCCCAACTCCAAGGTCTCAGCATGGACCTCACCAAGATAAAATCCGCTGAAAATTCTGGTATGCGGGTTTTGTAACTTAAATCTTCATGCTTTCTCAGAGTTGGGGTGGGCTACCTCTCCTCACTTCCCAATAAACATGGAAGAACTGGCAGTCACCCCCAAGAACCAACTCCAGCACCACTCTGTAAGCTCTACTACCGGCTTTGCTTCAGAGACCCACAAATAAATCTCAAAAGAGATCAAAAGCCGCAATTAAGCTCGGACCCATGCATGGCTGAACAGACCTAGGTAAAGTGCAGTGGGGCAGGTTTGCCTGTGCCTGCCCAAGAGGAGCCCCTGGCAACCACTCGCTCCATAATCCAAAATCGCCACCGTACCCCCAGCCTGATTCTACCTTCTCAGGATGGGCTTCAGCAAGATCTAATCTAATGAAAATGTTGTAATGTGGATCTTAGCGTACCAATAGCCCTGGTCCAGAGACACGGCAGCAAGTCCCAGAAGACACCACAGTTCTGAAGACCTCTCCGGGCCCCATACTGAGCCAATTTCACTGGGGTACTACAGATGGAGTAGGTTCAGTATCCCCACCTAGTCCAGATGGAATCCTGGTGACCAAGAGCTTCCACAAGCAAGGCCCCTAACCCCTGATATGTGGGTTCCAAGACTAAATCTCCAGGCAACATGTCAGCAGAGGACCCCAGCTGTCCCTCCCGGGATCCCCACCCACCCAGCAGACTGGCTGTCATGCCCATAATTTGCTTTCTGGTACCATCTTAGCGCACAAACATCCCTGGCCCAGAGACTTCCAATCGAATCCCAAAATGGATTAGTGCCATACAGAGATGTCTCTGGAACACAACAATTTAAAATCTAGAAATTTACATTTACAATCACTGCAATGTGAATTCTCATAATATTCAAAAGAAGCAAGGGAAAATAAATTAACTAGCCTCTGCCCCTAGTAGGTAGACTTAAATGGTGGTGAGAAAATTTGAGCAAAATATACTGCCCCAAATTAGAGAGAGAATATTTTGGAAAATTGTCAGCCACAGAGGCAGGGTGAGGACTGGATTGTGTGTGTGTGTGTGTGTGTGTGTGAGTGTGTGTGAGTGTGTGTAAGTGTGTGTGTGTGTGTGAACATTACTGGTGGAAAATGTATACTGGTGGAGAGATGGGTGTTCCATCATTATATGGCGAAATCTCAAACATGAAAACTTTGTAACTCTATCTCACGGTGGTACAAGTATATATATTATGGAGTTCATACCCAATTTAGTCAGTTTAAACAATGACTGGCTGAACAAATAGCAGTACTGTTACATTATTTTTAAAAAATAAAAAATGGAGGCCAGAGTGATAATACAGCTGGTAGGGCATTTGCCTTGCATGCAACTGGCCCGGGTTTGATCCCTGGCATCCTATATCTCTCCACAAGTACAGCCAGGAGTAATTCCTTAGTGCAGAGCCAGGAGTACCCTCTGAGCATCCCAGGGTATGATCCAAAAAGCAAAAACATAAAAATAAAAAAAATTAAAAAATAAATAAAACCTTTACCAAAGCCAGACAAATAAAGTATAAGGAAACTACAACTCAATATGCCAATATGACTATAGATTCAAGTTTTCAATAAAATACTACCAGGGAGGAAATCAAGAAGGAAGGAAGGAAGGAAGGAAGGAAGGAAGGAAGGAAGGAAGGAAGGAAAGAAGGAGAGAAGGAAGGAAGGTTTGCTTTATATAAAATAACATCAATGGAACTAATGTTGAGTGAAATGAATGACAGAAGAACAAATAAAATTGTACACAATCCAACTTGTGGATTATATGAAACAGCTAAAATAATAATATACATTGGAATGATAGTAGAAAGCTAACTCAGAGTCTGTGGCAAGGGACAGGTATGTGCTGCTGCTTAGTTTGTATAAAATGTATTAAATGATTGATATGTTAAGTGTGCTTACAACATTTAAAAATCAGTGCTGTTAAGATAAAGAAACTTGAGCTATAGAGAGAGAAAGAGCACGCATGAGAGAGGGAGAGCAAAGTTTGGAGTTATATTTGAAACTATTCTTTTATTGCATTCTTAAACTGACATTGATCTGTGGGATTCTATGCAATTATTTTGTTTTACTTTATATTTTCATGATTTTTTTCTGATAATTGTGGCATAGTAATTTTTCAGAGCCTTAGTTGGAAAAAAATTTAAAAAATTAAAATAAAGTTTCACCATTTTTGTAATGAATATTTACTTTCAGTTGGTAATAAAATCCTCATTGTTCTGCTGTGACCTATTTTTTTCTACTTTGCTTCTACTCTTTGTGTGATTATATTGTATTTCAGTAGTACTTTAAATATTGTGTTGTGTTGGTTCAATATATACTAAAATTTGAATAATACAGAGGAGACTAGTATGAGTCCTGTGCAAGGGTGATACAGATTATCACACATTCCATTCAAAGTGAAAAGAAAATAAAAAAGTTTGTCTTTATGGTATTGCGGATTCACTACCAGGATCTCACCATTCTACAAAGAAGTGATCGTTGATGTCAAGAGAGGGGTGCGGCAGGGTGATACCATTTCACCGAAACTTTTCAGTGCCACCCTCGAGAACATCATGCGACGACTGCAACGGGAAGGAATGGGAGTGAAGATAGATGGTCGGCAACTACACCATCTCCGCTTTGCTGATGACATTGTTTTAATAACACCAAACATCAGCCAAGCGGCACAAATGCTGGCCGACTTTGACTGTGAGTGTGGAAAGGTCGGACTACAGCTGAACCTTACGAAGACAATGTTTATGAGAAACAGCCTCGTTCCTGACGCCCCATTCGCTGTCAACGGAACGACCATCTCCGAATGCAACAGCTATGTGTACCTAGGTCGAGAGGTCAACATGAGAAATGACCTGGCACCCGAGCTGCGCAGGAGGAAGAGAGCGGCTTGGAACGCCTTCAAGAACGTCGAAGAAATAGCTAAGAGGACGAAGAACCTCCGGTTCCAGGCACATCTCTTTGATTCCACTGTTTTTCCTGCATTAGCATATGCCTCAGAGACCTGGGCCCTACAGGGACGCTGTCTCATTTGCCAAAGTGTCGAAAATCAGATGGGCTGGTCATGTAATGAGATTTAAAGACGACCGTTGGACTAGAGCTGTTACTGATTGGATTCCATGGGATGTCAAAAGACCGTGTGGCCGCCCACCTACCAGATGGTCAGACTTCTTCGTCAAGATCATGAACGATCGGTTTGAGGCCCTTCATGTTCCCGGAGCGAACAGATGCCATTGGGCTACACTAGCACGCGACAGGGACAAATGGAGACGTTACTGGTGCCCGCTCGAGCAAATCGACGACTAACAGGAAGTTAAGTGATTAAGTGATTAAGTAAGAAAGTATAGCAAATTTATATAGAACTAATTATGAACAATTAGTCAAATTTGCAGTCTTATCTGTAAATTAATATAAGTGTGATAGTGATATTCTTTGCCTAAAATAAAACAAAAACAACAAAATAAAATTTTATAAGTCCTCCATGAGTGCTGTGCTTTCTTTTAGGAATATTCTAGAGGGACCCAATCAGAAAACACAGATTCATTTCAGGAGGTAGCAATTTTGAGGTTATAATTTATTTTTGTCATTAATACTGAACATTAGGCATGGTAACTACTGTATCTATACAAGATTTATAAAAGAATATATGTGGAAGAAAAAATAAAAATAGTAAAATTCAGTTGCATCCCTTCATTAAATCTCCTTAGAACATTGAGTTAGGGGGCTGGAGTGATATAGCACAGAGGGTAGGGCGTTTGCCTTGCACGCGACCAAACTGGATTTGATTCCCAGCATCCCACATGGTCTCCTGTGCACCGCCAGGAATAATTCCTGGGTGCATGAGTCAGGAATAACCCCTATGCAACACCAGCTGTGACACAAAAGCAAACAAAAAACCAAAAACAAACAAACAAACAAACAAAAATATTGGGTCATTGGGAAGGATGAATTGTACTGCTACCACAATATACAGTATTAAAGAAGAACTTTTACGTTTTAATTAATTTTTTGTGTATTTTGCAGAACAACAGACCTTTAAAACTATCGTCAACCACTATATGTCATGAAAGTGAAAATTAAAAGAAGAATGTTGATTTGTTATATATCTATAATTCTTCTATCTTACTATGTTACTGAAACTTTTCTTAGTTTTTAAGAGAATTGGTCTCTGCATCAATATCAAGTCTATGTTTAATGAGATATATGTTCTAATAATCTGACTTCTTTTCCTTGTGCATTCTGTTTTAAGGAGTAAACTTCCCCAGCAATGCTCCAGGGATCCAGAGACTCTCCTCATGACATTCAACCTGGCTGTGCATCCATGAATTTTAGTGTAGAGGTCCAATGTTACTGAGAAATTCCGGTCTAACCAGACCCAGTGTCACCAGCATCACTTTGAATGTGTTAAAAGCCACCAGGGCAATACTCAATGGCAGTTTGGATCCTCCATTCTAATACCTGGCTGTGCAGAACATGCAGTGCCTGCACTGAATTAGGGCCTCTGTGTGTAAGACACTCCAAGTTTGAACTGTTTCCTCAGTCCTGTATATTCTTTCTGAAATGTTAATGAAGTAAAGTTGCTAATGTAACAATGATTTTGAGTGATATTTAAGAGCATCGAAATTAAAATGCAATTAATTTCTCAATGCCATATATCATCATTTCAGTAATGTATAAAAAATAATACAACATATCATCAGAATGCATTCAAAATATAGTTTACAAAGAAAGACAGTTTTGGAAATGGTAACAAAATTAAAGAATAAAGAAAGGACGCTTCTTTTTTGTTATTAAATTGGCAAATATGCAGCATGATATACTTAAGTATTCTTTATATATATATCATTAATAAATGTTGCACATTACTTGGCAGTCATTAACAAATGCCTTCTTTAGAAATCTAAGACTTGTAACAGCCATTGTGAAAAAATGCATTTGTGATATGAACCACATTTTTAAATGAAATGGATTTTTGCTTTGCTATCTTTTATGTCTTTTTCATAAAACTAGGCTTATGACCCAGGCACATTATTATTATACATATATTGTATTATATATTGTATTATTATTCAGCATTTCTAATACAGAGTAAATATGAGTTTAATAACAGATTCTGTTTAAGATAAGTTTATTATAAAAATGTATTTCAAAGACTAACACATAGATCTAGTTAAGAGAGGTAATTCTTGATAATATAATTTGGTGTACACACAAAATATGTTTCATCCTAATGTTTCTATCCAATTTTAATCCATGTGTCTTTGTAACATGACTTAAACTTCACAAATTGTATTTAACAAATGAGCTTAATTCTCGATAAGAAAAACAATGTATATCTTATAAACACTTTCTGTTTTATTTTCTTATTATGATTTAAAATAAGTATATTTTACTTTCAAACATAGTTTGCCTTGCCCAAACTTATCAATGTTATATCATATGATTATGTGATATCCTATTTTCATTTTTTCATGCTTTAGTCATACTGCATATATTTCTGGTGATCTTTATTCAGTGATACATTTATAACATTATTAGTCTTCAGTTATTTGGGAAGCAATTGATAGATACAATTTCTATCAATTCCAACATTACTAGTTTTTGTTTTTATTTTTGCAGTTAATGGAAATAACTGAAGACTAGTAATGTCATGAACACACAACTACACATTAGCTTAAATATAATTATTATACATACTATATATCATATATAGCAAATGACTACCACCATAAGTTTTATTAACATACATTTCCATACAAAATTGCAATTTTTTTTCTTGTAATGAAACTTTTCCTCCCCTTCACTCTACTTTTCCTTTCCTTCATGGTTGTTATTGTGATGATAAGTAGTCTCAAGCTCAGGGGACCATATGGGATTCTGGAAATTGAACCTTGGTCATTTGTGTGAAGATAAGTGCCTTACCCTCTGTACTATATCTTTGACCTCAACAGTCTCAAAGACTTTTATAGGCAGGTCATTCTAATTGCATAGCAGAGTATATAATAAGGAGATAGAACAATGGAGGGTTATAAAATGTAATATGAAGTTTAGGCTAAATAATACAACTTTTGGGGCTGGAGCGATAGCACAGTGGATAGGGTGTTTACCTTGCACGCATCCAAACCAGGTTGGATTCCCAGCATCCCATATTATCCCCCAAGCACCGCCAGGAATAATTCCTAAGTGCAGAGTTAGGAGAAACCCCTGTGCGGTGCTGGATGTTACCCAAAAAACAAACAGACAGAAAAAAAAATTAACAAACTTTTGTGTGAGTTGAAAGAGAAAGTGAAGGAAAAGTTTTCATGGAGAGGTAATGAACAAAATTCTCTTTTAAAAAATATTATTTTTTTATTTTTAAATTTTATGGAATCATCATGAGATAGTTACAAGCTTTCATGTTTGGGTTACAGTCACTCAATGATCAGTGCACATTCCCCCCCACCTATATCCTCTGTATACCCCTGCTTTCCCACCCTCCCCCTGCCTCCGTGGCAGACATGATTCCCCATAATCTCTCTCTACTTTTGGGCATTATGGTTTGCAATACAGAACCTGAGAGATTATCATGTTCGGTCCTTTATCTAATCTCTGCACACATTCCCCATCCGGACTGATTCCTCCAGCCATCTTTTTCTTAGTGATCCCTTCTCTATTCTAGCTGCCTTCTCCCCTTTGCTCATGAGGCAGGCTTCCAGCTATATAGTAATATCTGTCCCATGTAGCTACTATCCTTAGGTGTCAGTCTTATGATATGTTGTTATATACTCCACAAATGAGTGCAGTCCTTCTATATCTGTCCCTCTCTTTCTGACTCATTTCACTTAGCATGATACTCTCTATGTCTATTCATTTAAAAGCAAAGTTCATGACTTCATTTCTCCTGACAGTTGCATAGTATTCCACTGTGTGTTCCAATGTTTCTTTAACCAGTCACCTGTTCTAGGGCACCTGGGTTGTTTCCAGATTTTGACTATTGTGAACAGTTCTGCAATGAACATATCGGTTCAGATGTCATTTCTACTGTGCTTTTTTTGCATCCTCGGGAAATATTCCCAGAAGTGGTATTAAGGGTCATATGGAAGCTCAATTTCTAGTTTTGAAGGACTGTGCATATTGTTTTCCAGAAAGGCTGGACTGGTGGGCATTCCCACCAATAGTGAAAGAGTGTCCCTTCTTCCCCACATCCATGCCAGCACTGTTTGCTTTTGTTCTTTTGAATCTGTGCAAGTCTCTGTGGTTTGAGATGATATCTCATTGCTTTTTGATTTGCATCTCCCTCATGGCTAGCGATGTGGAGCATTTTTTCATGTGCCTTTTGGCCATTTGTATTTATTTTTTGAGGAAACTTCTGTTCATTTCTTCTCCCCATTTTTGATAGGTTTGGAGGATTTTTTCTTGTACAATTCTACT